TACAAAGCAAGTAAGGACACATTTGCCACTTTAACTACTTTAAATCTTACTCCTGCAAAAAACAATAATAAGGAAAAAAATACTAATTAATTAATTGATCTGATAAGTAAACAATTCATTATTTAATTTATCATTAGAATAACCATCATTAATATTTATGAAATATACATCACCTGGAATATCTCCCACAGCATGACCTTTTCTACCAAATCCTGCTACCAGCACTTCATCGTTTTCTTCAATGTAATTTAAACAACCGTCCCTAGGTACAAAAGCAGTAATTTTTTTACCATTCTTTATAAGTTGCACCCTAACACACTTTCTAATAGCTGAATTAGGTTGTTTAGCCTCTACACCGCTGCATATAATAAAAGAAAAATAACCATTACTGTTACAAGCAATTGAAACTTGATATAATTTACATTTAAAATAAATTTTTTAAAACATTCTTCTGGAGTGGGAATAAATGCATATCTGCATTAGTGAACGACAAACAGTTAAAATTATATATAGTCAACTCACACTTTTTCTAAAACGATGCCTTTTGCGTGTGATGCTCCTCCGAATGGATTGGCTTTCCATTTGGTTCCTAAATGAGCTTTTTTATAATCTTTATCTGCCCATCGTTGCTCTCGACGGTGATTTACGTGTTTACGAGCAGTTCTAATTCCCCTTGGCTTACCTGATATAAAAAAAATTAAAAATACACGTGTTTTAAGTACAAAATTATTTATCGAAACAATTACTAAAACTAAACATAAGCTTTTACTATTATTTGGATGATTTTTTTAAGTTAATAAAAAGTGCGACGGATTGTTTAGATATTGAAATAAATATTTTATATCTAAAACAAACGTACAAAATATGTTTTCTCAAAATAAAATTAATTACGTACCCATTGTTACAGTAAAAGTGAACGTGCACTTAACTGGCCTTTTTCAAATTCTATTGACACTTCATGAATGGTTAAATATTTTCAAATTCAAAAAATTATAATTTTCAAAAGGAAAAATTACGCAGAACGTTTTACTTGTGTATTTTTTTTTGCAATTTATGCTCTTTTCTTACTTCGAAAACAAATTGCTTAGAGAAATTTGATTTTTTAATTTTTAATTACATATAACGTGGGACTAGTACTTAAAATTTACTTTAACTATTTGTGTATTTTATATGCCTTATTGGTAAAACGCAACATTAGCTGTTTTAACTTAGATAGCTTTTTTTAATAATAAAAAAATATAAAAATTTTAATTAATTAATATATTATATTTAAAAATTTAAATTTTTAAGATGTTATAATTTCGAACAGTAAATTTTTTATAATCTACATTTTTTTACAATGGAGTAACCACTATTATTATTATTATTTAAACTATAACAGTTTGAATTTTGCTTTCTATTTTGAAAATTATGCTGGTCTTTTCGGAGGTGAAAGATATAAATCTGAAGCTTCAGTGTTATAAAACTGTAAATTAAAAGAAATATTAAATCATAATTAGAAACCTATTTAATAAGAAATAAAAAATTTTTTAAATAACCCATATTATTTACTTATTTCTTAGAATAAATCAATTGTATGTATTTGGAAATAATAAAAAGTAATTCATTTATTTTAAAATTAAATAAATTAATTTTTGTGCAGATTTGCTTCCTTTACTTACCGAAACCATTGTTATAATAAAAAATCCAGCTCCAAGTAATAAATGAAGATTATATTTTCTTTGATTGTTGTCATAATCTTCTTGCCAACTTCCACAAGGAATAGGGACATCATCCATAGTTGGATATTTATATCCTTCAAGGTGTTTACTGTGTGAGCTATATTGAGCCACTAGTAAATTACCAATTTTTTGCCTTTGGCCTATAATAAAAAAAAGAATTAAACTTTTGATTTAAAGTATGTAGAAATATATTAGGCTCTTTTAGAAGACCAACGGTAAACATGATAATTGAAAATATTTATAAAATTTAAAAAAAAATTAAATTTAGTTTAAGCAGGTATATATTTATAAATTTTTTTAAATTTAAAAAAAATTTTTTAAATTTATAAAAATTTCGAAAAAAATCTCAATATAATTTTTGCAATTATAATGAATGGTCTTCTGCTTTAACAATTACATTTTGGAAAAGCTTTTAAATTTTGTTATATATATATTATAAATATACATACCACATAGAGGTAAAACTCTTTTAGCCAATGTCAATGATGGTACAAGAGTTTTAGACAGCATGGCTAATGATTTCAGTAGAAAATATATACAATTAAATATAAGTATATATTGTTCACAGCCCTTATATCAGAAATAAAATTTAGCTGAAGATATTCATAGAATAAGAAGAAAAAAATTCTAGTCCCACGTTATATGTAATTAAAAATTGAAAATCCAAATTTCTTTAATCAATTTGATTTCGAAGTAAGAAAAGAGCATAAATTGCAAAAAAAAATACACAAGTAAAACGTTCTGCGTAATTTTCTCTTTATGAAAATTATAATTTTTTAAATTTGAAAATATTTAACCATTCATGAAGTGTCAATAGAATTTGAAAAAGGCCAGTTAAGTGCACGTTCATTTTTACTGTAACAATGGGTACGTAATTAATTTTATTTTGAGAAAACATATTTTGTACGTTTGTTTTAGATATGAAATATTTATTTCAATATCTAAACAATCCGTCGCACTTTTTATTAACTTAAAAAAATCACCCAATTAATAGTAAAAGCTTATGTTTAATTATAGTGGTTATTTCGATAAATAATTTTGTACTTAAAACACGTGTATTTTTAATTTTTTTTATATCAGGTAAGCCAAGGGGAATTAGAACTGCTCGTAAACACGTAAATCACCGTCGAGAGCAACGATGGGCAGATAAAGACTATAAGAAAGCTCATTTAGGAACCAAATGGAAAGCCAATCCATTCGGAGGAGCATCACATGCAAAAGGCATCGTTTTAGAAAAAGTGTGAGTTGACTATACATAATTTAATGTTTGTCGTTCACTAATGTAAATATGCATTTATTCCCACTCCAGAAGAATGTTTTAAAAAATTTATTTTAAATGTAAATTATATCAAGTTTCAATTGCTTGTAACAGTAATGGTTGTTTTTCTTTTATTATATGCAGCGGTGTAGAGGCTAAACAACCTAATTCAGCTATTAGAAAGTGTGTTAGGGTGCAACTTATAAAGAATGGTAAAAAAATTACTGCTTTCGTACCTAGAGATGGTTGTTTAAATTACATTGAAGAAAACGATGAAGTGCTAGTAGCAGGATTTGGTAGAAAAGGTCATGCTGTGGGAGATATTCCAGGTGATGTATATTTCATAAATATTAATGATAGTTATTCTAATGATAAATTGAATAATGAATTGTTTACTTATCAGATCAATTAATTAATTTGTATTTTTTCCTCTTTATTGTTTTTTGCAGGAGTAAGATTTAAAGTAGTTAAAGTGGCAAATGTGTCCTTACTTGCTTTGTACAAGGAAAAGAAGGAAAGACCAAGGTCTTAATCAAAAAAAATATGATTTTATTCTATAAATTTTTAATAAATATTTGAAAATTATTATTTTTTACCAATGTTGGGTTTTTTATCTTGTGCATTTTTTATCATTGTGACTTAATCATTTATTTTCCTGTTTCACACTTTTCCTGAATTACAATGCATCAAGCTGTTTTTCATAACTTTAACATATGGCAAAAAAAAAGTAGATTTAATCGAGTGCAGAACTTCATTTTTTTCGGTCCATGTCATTTAATACATTCTTTTTTTACACCTACTTATTCAACTCGAGTAGGTTTTTCATTTTAACTTTGTGTCGTGATTCAAATGATACAAAATTGGTTTTTGAAACTTTTTGAAGTTTGATCTGTAGCAA